CCCCACACTTTTGGCTCAATACTGTGGTCAGCTAACTGCTCTAAAAATACATTTTATTACTTAAAAAATCAATCAGTTTAATGACCAGATATAAGTAATCCACAAAGTAATAACTTTATGCTATATAAAATATAATCTTCAGCTAAAATTTAAGCTTTAAATGAGAAAAGAGTGACCTCTAAAACTTCATTCATATGAAATATAAGGTAAAATATTATTGTTCACTTTGCAGTCATCCTTTGTAAAGCATAAAACATGTAAATAAAGTCAAAACAATTTAAAATATATTTAACATGAAGTCAAAATCTTGATTAACATGTATTGTTGTTTAGGTATTATCCACAGATAACACTAGCTATGCAAACTAGTGCTGCAGTCAACAGGGTCACCAAGTCAGACACAACTGCGTGACTGAACTGATACAAACTATTTACTTTGAATAGTAAGTCTTTGTGACTAAAATGAGAAATTACCACCTAAAAAACTTGACTGAACACAATATTGTAAAGCAATTATCCTTCAATTAAAAATAAATGAATTTTAAAAAAAACCCTGACTGAATCTTGCTGGTAGTTAAAAATTAGTTAACAACCAGGAACCATGCAAGTACTATATAAGGTTCATCTCATATCATCTTTTCAACATTATGACATAGGTATTTTCACAAGGAAATGGAGGCTCTAAGAAGTAAAACAATTTTCCAAAAAATAAAAAATAAAACTGGAAAAGCCAAGGTTGGATTCCACATCTGACTAAAGAGCTTAAAATTCTAACCACTACACAGCAGTAACTTTCTTTAACAGCATTTATCTTCTGGCTGCACTGCGTCTCTGTTGCTGCGTGCAGGCTTTCTCTAGTTGCAGTGAGCAGGGGCTACTCCCGAGTTGCAGTGTGCGGGCTTCTCACTGCAGTGGCTCCTCTGCTGCTGAGCCTGGGCTCTCGAGTACACAGGCTCAGCAGCCGTGACACATAAGGCTCGGCTGCCCTGTGGCTAAGCTTCCTCGACTAGAGACTGAACACTGGCAGGCGGATTCTTAACCACTGGACTACCAGGGAAGTCCTATTTTCTGCTTTAATTTCTTGATAAAGAAATAATGAAAGATTCATGATTTCTATTCTAATTACTTTACTAGATGTTCTGCACAAAGGGATATAAAAGAAGTTTTAGAAGACTGTGGCACTGCATGGCTGATAAAATCAAATTAATATATATGAATCAAAGTGTTTCTGTCATTTTTTTTCCTTATTTAAATCTGTACTTAGGTAAGGATGCAATCCAACTGCTATGTTGTATTACTTCACCTGCCACTCTAAGAACACATAGCAGTATAACTTCAGAGTTAGTTCTAAGTCAACATATGCAATAAACTGAGATGGAAATGAGACAATCTATGACTAATAAAACTTCTGTTAGAGCTAGAAGCATCCTAGAAGACAAGTCAGAATCAAACCACCTGTGGCAAACTAGAAAAATGGTCTTTTGAGAAGAAGAAAATGAAATTCAATCAAATGCTTATGTACTATAATTTAGTATTTACTGACCATTTTCTATATGCCAGGCACTGTACTAGATACTGGGAGCATAGAGAGAAGATGGAGAGACAAGAGCTCCAATACTGACAGGCAAGTACAAAAGGCACCTAACTTGAGGGGAAATGGGGAAGAAACTAGGAAGAAAAAAGGTCAGAGAGGATTTACTACTGTAACTGACATATGAGGCAAGTCATAAAGGATAAATAGAAAATGGAACAGGTAAAGAAAGGCAAAGAACAAGATATACAAAGGAGAAAAAACAAGTAAAGCAGAGTCCATTTAAAGAATGGAAAGAATTTAATGCAGGATGCACAGGGAAGACACTGGAGAGGAAGGAAATCAGAAGGCCTATAAAGGGTCTTCATGAGAGTGAATTTTATCTTGAAGGCTAGTGAAGGAGGTTAGACATGAAACATCATATGATGTAAGGTAAGACATCATATGAAAGGTAAGAAACAGTAACTGATGTTAAAAAAGAGAGAAAGAAGCAGCGGTATAGTAAGATAGTGGTAGTGAAGATTGACAAGATACAAAAATGTTAAAGAACAAGAGAAAGGCAAACATCTAGGATGTTTCCAGTGTCATTAACTGAGTGGATGATGATGCTGTGACTGAATATAGAGCTACGAGTATCAGGTTATCACTGAATACCTCAAGTGATAACTGAGTCCTATCCTTCAAGGGTCAAGGAGAAGCTTTCAAGAGGAATCAGTATCTAGTATGGGATTTAAAAGATGAACAGAAATTATGACAATGGGCTGGAGTTTAAAAGTTGTTGGTGAATGGGAGGCACTGGTCAACGATAAAAGATGAAGCGAGAGAGGTCAGAAGCTGCCAGGTCAAAAGTACTTTCTGGACTATACTATCCAAGCAACAAAGAATTAAGTTAGGTTTACAGGGAAGAAAAAGAAAAGATCGTATTTTTATTTTGGAAAAAAAAGGACTCTGACTACAAGATGGCCTAGACCAAAGTTGAAAGATGTCAGAGTGGGTGGGGGTGGGAAGAACCCAAGTAAGAAATGGCAGTGGACACATTTGAGCAAAGACTAGATATCTATGGGGGTGGAATCTATGGGGGTGGAATTAAGCTTACACACCATCTTCTGTATAATTGCTCACCTATCCATCCACTCTTTGAAAAGCAACAAATTTACCCATCTTTGAAAACTAAGTCATGTTATTTTTTTTTAAATATCAATAGCCAAAGGATTTAACTGCAACTCACAACAACCCCCTCCCCCTCCTTGCCCAAATCAGGAAGGACTTAAAGAAGGAAGTACATTTTGGACTTTAAAATATAAGATTATCATCACTTATTTATTAACTAAAAGATAATAAAAATGGATTAAGAAAAATAAATGGTATCTTGATTTAAAACCTGTAACAACCAAAATTCTGGTATGTGGAACTGAGAGGATGGTGGTGCCATTTACTAACTAAGAAAACAGGAGGAGGCAAGGAGTGTGTGTATGTGTGTGTATAGAGAGAAAAGAGAAAAAAAGAGAGGGGGGGGAAGGGGGGTGGGGGAGGACTGAAATGGGAAAGATAATTAAAAAATGCCATTTTTATTTTGTGTGAATAGTAAAGTTTTGAATAGGCTGCCATTAGAGGCACTTGTGAGGCATTTACCAATATCTATTAAGCAAGGATATGACATTCAAGACTGAGATACAAACATTTGACACTCAAGAAAGAAAAGTGGGCTGGTGACAGAAGTTTGGATGTCAGCAGCATAAACAGGGCAACTGAAACCCTAGGAGTAGCTAATACTCATGGAGAATACACAGAGTAAGTGGTAATATGGCCTAGGACAGAGCCTTAAAAATCCTACGCTTTACAAATTGATAATGTAAATGATGTTCACAGAAGAGACTTAAAAGATATAGCCAGATTAAGTTAAAATGAAAATCAGAAAAAAAGGTTATCAAAAACTATGGCAAGAAAGTGTCTTTTCAGAAAAAATAAGTAGTCAATAATATCCAATGTTGCCAAGTTAAAGACTCAAATGTCTGTGGCATTTAGCAGCAAGGACATAATCTTTAAAAGAACAATTTCAGTCAAGAAAAGAGAATGGAAAGCGAGGCAGCAGAGGCTGTAAGCAAAGGAAAGTCCTTCAGGAAACCTAGTTATAGAGACGACAGCGTGAGCCTGGAGAGATGTCTAATTGATGGGGAGTTTTTTGTTTTGTTTCCTAAAAGGAAGAAACCAGTAGACAGCAAAAGGGTGAAGATATACGATAAAGGAGGTATCAACAGAAGAGGTCCCTGATGTGGCAGGGGATGGGCCTCAAAGCACAAATGAAACAGTATCTTTCAACAAAGGAGAAGCATATTAAAACATAAAGCAGAGGGTGTGCATATGTATTTTCCACTCACATAAACTTATATAAGCTCTTATAAAACAGAAAAACTATATAAATTAGGTTGCATCTATACACAGAAATTCTAACAATGGGATTTTTTCCAGTGGTCATGTATGGATGTGAGAGTTGGACTATAAAGAAAGCTGAGCACCAAAGAATTGATGCTTTTGAACTGCGGTGTTGGAGAAGACTCTTGAGAGTCCTTTGGACTGCAAGGAGATCCAACCAGTCCATCCTAAAGGAGATCAGTTCTGGGTGTTCATTGGAAGGACTGATGCTAAAGCTGAAACTCCAATACTTTGGCCACCTGATGCAAAGAGCTGACTCATTTGAAAAGACCCTGATGCTGGGAGGGATTGGGAGCAGGAGGAGAAGGGGACGACAGAGGATGAGATGGTTGGATGGCATCACCGACTTGATGGACATGGGTTTGGTTGGACTCCGGAGTTGGTGATGGACAGGGAGGCCTGGTGTGCTGCAGTTCATGGGGTCGCAGAGAGTCAGACACGACTGAGTGACTGAACTGAACTGTTCTCTGTGACACAGGATCATGGCCTTTACTGTTTTATTGTTCTTTCATATTTTTCAAATTTCCTATGATAAGCATATGATTGTTTTTTAAATGTCTCCAACTTCTGAATTATAAAAAGTAGTTCACCATTCAAGCAGAAAACCTAGAAACCAAAGCAGAAAGGGGAAAAAACAATACCTATAACCTCTGAATGTGCTGCTTTCATAGGTTGACAAAAATATGTCAGCTGTACTACTTAAGCTAACATTTTCTCAGAAAAAGGGAACACTAAGAGGAATACTGAACTAGAATAATCAAAATAGACAAGTGACTCTACTATCATTCATAGACACAGAAGAAAAAGTGAACTCCAGTTTCCTCTTAGCTACCCATTTAAAATAGGATTAGTAAATCTCCACTTAGGTAGAATTCAGATTTGGAGAAATATTATTCATTTAGAAGTAAATTTTTGCAATACTCTTTTCCTTCCTGGCCATGATGATTTTTACTATTTAATTATTAATAACACCCACTACTAACATTCATGCTCACTGGCAACACTTTAAAAAAAGGAAATTAAAAACGCAAACTTACAGTTGTGGTAAATTTGGTCTAACGAAAGGATCATTTTCTGCTCCATTGACTGCTTTGTTTTTCCTTTGTTTTGATTCAGAATTGGTAGAGGGTGCCTGAGAATTATTAGCTGTGGGAGGTTTGCGTTTGGCTAGAAGTTTCCTTTGCCTTTCAATATCTTCCCTTTGCTGATTCACCCATTCTTGTTGCCTACATAAAAATAAATGTGGAAAAAAATTAACCTTCCTTTACTTTTCACATTTAAAACACGAAAATACATTAGTAAACATGAAAAATCACATAATATAAACATGTAACATTATGGTCCCACTCCTGTGAACCAACACCTTCTCACTGTCCTTTTCTCATTTGAAACATACATTTTTAAATGAGGTCTTCCCTAAACCCGCTGGATGAGAAGGATATGTTGCCACATATAACTTCATAGTATCTTGTAGCGCCCCATCTTCTCTTTTCTAAACAAATATTTCTATGGACACTTGATCTAAATATGTCTGGTTAGACTAAATCACTCCATGAGAACAGAAACAATTATTTTATACGCTATTGTACCCTAAGTGCCCAGCATAGTGACTGGCACATGCTAGGCATTCAATAAATATTTGTTGAATAAAATCAATCAGCTATTAAAAAAAAGAAATAACAGAGTTAAGGAGTAGGTTTTATACATTCATCTCACCAGTGTTTAAAGAAAAACTTATAAAAGACAAATGGGAATTTATCAATCAAGTGTTATTTTCTAAATGTATCTCTGTTAAATTTCAAGAAAGGGTAAGTGGTATACTGAAATGAAACAAAAACTGACCTTAGAAATTTAGGAAAAAAGAAGGAATTTTGACACTTTAAAGAGAGAAAATACCAAGAAAAATTTAGATGGCATTGAAAAACAGGCAACTAATGTAACTAAAAATATTACTGTTTCCAAATGAAACTTTTAAAAACCATCCTCTCATACAACATTTTAAGCCTGTTCTAATATAATTATCTTCCCTCTTAGGTCACCTCACCACACTAGGAAATAATTTTTAAAAAACTAAATGGTAATTGTGACAGGATGTGGAATTTTGTCTAATTCTTTTATTGCATCAATTGAGATGATTTTGGTTGTTTTCCTTCATTGTATTAGGTGACATATCACACTGATTAATTTTTGTCTGCTGACCCACTCTCAAACCAGGAATAAATCCCACTTTGTCACAGTGTATTTTTTGTTAAAAAAAAAAACATAAAAACACAAAACCTCCATGCTGATGGTACTCAGATTTAGAACAAGTCAAATATTTCAATTCCTCCCTCCTTCACCCCTATTCAGACCAGAACTAGAGAACTTCCACTCTACCGACAAAGACCTGTTTTACACATTTCAGAGTCCTATGATCCCAGTCAGGCAGTGCAGAACATGAAAGAAGGGAAGGAATGAAGGAGCACCCAAGTAAAAGAGCAAAATGCTGGAGAAAAGTCTCAAGAAGAGCAAGGTATGAATATGACTTTAATCCAGTTTTCTACTGTAAGTAGGAATAATTTCAGTTTATTTAAAAAATTAATTTTAAAGCTAGTTTAGGGTACAATCAAGATTAATAAAAATAAATAGCAATAATCCTACTGAAATAATCAAAGAATTACTCTAATGGATACACACATACACATATACACACATATACATATATATATAGTGACTGATTATTCAGTAATGACCATATAGTTTAGAGAATATTAATTTAATATTACTAGTTTTTATTTCTCTTCTTATCCTCCAACTATTTTGGGTTATATCACAGCTTAAAAAATATACACTGCTTAACAGTTTGATATTAAATATATACGTATATGTAATATATATATGTAGCAACATACAGTAGGACCTCAGTAAATGCTTATTAGTAAGAAAAAAATACAAGTAATTTTTTAAAAACTGGGTTATTGCTTTATTATAAAAGGATATAGCTCAGAAACAGCCAGATGGAAGAGCTGCACAGGGCGAGGTATGGGGAAGAGACATGGAGCTTCCATGCTCTCTCTGAGCCTGATAATCTTCCCAGATCTCTACACATTCACCAAGCCATAACCTCCAATTTTATTCTTTGACAGCTTAATGGAAAAATTTTAACAATTGGCAGAGTTTGTATTTTAGTTTATATTTAATGCTATATTATGTAACCTTCTTTCATTCATTACCAGGACAACTGGAGATCTGGGTTTAGCAGCTCAGAAAAACACTAAAAATTTTTAAGTTGTATCTCAACTCTATCTCTTACTTTCTACTTCTATGGTTAATATTTTAGCTCAAGCCTAATCACCTTTCATTTGGATGCTTCTCCATCTAAACTATCAATAATTTATGTTCTTTTCAGTATTATTCCCACATTACTATCAGTTACCTTTCAAAAACTCAAATTTGACCACACACACTATATAAAACTTTAACAGCTCCCTTTTATCAACAGAATTAAAAATCCAAACTTCCTACCATCACAAAGACACTGTCCTTCAATACTTAACACCCAGAAACAGTTGTGTTGAACAGAAGCTGGGTAAATCAACTGAGATAGATAGAAGACCATTCTATACTTAAGTCCTGGGAACCAATGTTTGAAACAGCAGTTTATGTGATACTATGCGAAATAAAGCTTTGCCTACATTTTCCATTTAACTGGACTGACTCTGGGAAAACTGATTTAGATGTTGGCACTACTCTTGCTTTGCAGGTTTTTATGTTTTTTCAGCAAAAAATAAGGGGGGGGGGGCAGCAATAGATCCTGGCTCCTTAACATAGAAAGGGTATGTTGACTAACATACCCTTTCCTACCACCAACTTGAGAAAATGGATTTCTCCATTTTAAAGTTTACCTCAGAAGTGCTAAAGCCACATGTTCAGTTCAACTGACTTTTGAGTTATTATGTCTGACACTGTAGAGAAAATACTCCTGTCTTTCCCACAGGAATAATGAGCAGACAAATGCTGAAGGAAGGACTGGGGAATGGGAGAGGGGAAAAAACAAAAAACAAAAAACTAAGCAGAAAACCCCCAAGATATAGATACAAATCTTGCAATTAAAGTTAAAATTTTTAACAATTTCCCTCTCAACTAACTTATAAAAGCTAGGTCAGTTTATGTTTTGAAAAGTCATATTTAAAATAATACATCATACTATACAGATCTTCCCTGGTGGCTCAGATGGTAAAGCGTCTGCCTACAATGTGGAAGATGCGGGTTCAATCCCTGGATTGGGAAGATCCTCTGGAGAAGGAAATGGCAACCCACTCCAGTACTCGTGCTTGGAAAATCCCATGGGCAGAGGAGCCTGATAGGCTACAGTCCATGGGGTTGCAAAGAGTCAGACACAACTGAGCGACTAAACTTTCTATACAGATGAATGCTAACTAATCAAGAAGTTTGCTAAAGCTAAACTTGTAATGCCTATTTTATGTTCCTTTCAAATGTATTAAGTTCTATGATTTCAAAGAGTAGTGAGTAGATATAGAACATAATTCCAAATCTATAATCTCTGAAAATAACAAACAACCAAAGGAATACTAAATCTTTTAAAATATAAGAGTGACTAACTTTACAAGATTCTGAAATGCAAAACCATCTGTCCATTGTTCAGTAAATGAAGCACCATGTCTAACTGTCGTGAAATGCCCAAGGCGTAATCTGTCTTGCATACTCTTCTCTCGGCTTGACAGTTTTTCTTGTGTACTCTGAAATAAAGGGGGAAAAAGAAAAATCATCATTCAACTTTATTAATTTAAATTTTAAAAACATACAAAGTAAAAGGGACTAGTGAAAGGAGAGGGAAAATTTATTGAACTTTTTTCCTGATGTGGCCTTTTTTTAAGCCTTTACTGAATTTGTTACAATACTGTTTCTGCTTTATGTTTTGGTTTTTTTGACCAGGAGGCATGTGGGGTATGTGAGGATCTTAGCTTCCCAACCAGAGATGGAACCCACACTCCTGCATTGGAAGGTGAAGTCTTAATCACTGGACTGACAGGGAACTTACCTTTTCAATAAGCAGTTTCTTGCTCATTGATATGCACTTATTTAATCGCTCTTTGTATTTTTCAAGTAGTTTTTGTTGCTCATCTATCTGCCGTCTGAGATCACAATTAGCCTACAATATAAGTAGACAATGAAAAATGTCTAGAATTTGTGTATATGAGACATTTAAGAATATTTATACATTTTGAAAAATTAATAAAGAGGATTAATGAGATTAAGTATTTGAATGTGATACTAAAACAAAAAAATGTTAAAACACCTACTTACCATGAGAATAACAACACTGTTACATGCTGCTTAGTTGTATAGTGAAAAGTACATGGAATATGTATTCATACTCCACAGGTTCAAATCTACACTCTAGGGTATATAATCTGGGCTAAGTTAAATAAGTTATCTGAACCTTATTTCTAAAGTTGTCTTAAAGGTCTGCTCTATTATCTTATTTCTAAAACAGAGCAACATCATTCTATCTCATTTGAAATAACTGAAATACAAAGTGTCTAACACTTAAAAATGCATGTGAGTTCTCCTTCATCTTTTGTAATAAAACATCTCCATTCAACATGTGGGTAACACTGCAGATGCCTATCCAATAGCTAACTGTTCTCACCATCTTTCTCGGCCACATGAATACAAATTTTGTTAACTCTGTAGGCGGTCATATGCTCAGTCCCTCTTTCTAAACTCAGAAGATAAGCCTGATTAGTACAATCACCAGGGAGTAACCTGGAGAGCTTGTTGGAACACAGATTACCGGAATCCATTCCCAGTCTCTGAATAAGTAGCTCTGGAGTAGGGTCTGAAACTTTACTTCTAATAAATCCACTAGTAAGGTTGATGCTTCTGGTCTGGGGATCATTCTTTGAAAACCATAGGTCTATGCCAATCATGGTATAAGCCAGAAGAGAGCAGTATAATAAATCAAAAATGCTGGGAGAAAAATACAGCTGCCAATCTAAAAGTATGTATCTAACAAAAAGCTGTTTTCCAAGGAAAAGGGTAAAATAAAATAGTTTCAGAGGAACACATGAAATTTAGCATCAGACCCTTATCATTAGGTGCAAGTCAAACAGAACCCCAACAAATTGTGTATGTGTGACTTGAAAAATCTAACACTTTTCTAAGACTACAAAGGACCAAAAACAGTCAAAAAGGAGATGATATTGATATTTGTTCAACCAGATATAAGATTTAATGCAAAACCAAAGTCTTCCTCTGGATTGGTATGTGTCTAGCTAAAGGAGTTTATTTCCCATCTCCTTGCAGCTAATGATGGTTAGTGAAATGTAAGCAGAAGTTGTTCAATGGGATACTCAAGAACACTATGCAGAAAACTGTTGTATTTTTAATTTCCTTCCTCTTCTGCTTAAGAACACAGATACCATAACTGTGACTCTGAAATATTTTGTACCTTGATATAATTTTCAAGATGAAGGCCATGTACTAAAGGGAGGGAGCAGAAAAACTGAAGGAGACAAGATTCCATATGACACCTGGGCTACCTCCTTCTGTTCTTCTCTTAAAAAATAATATTGTATTTCATTTAAAGTACTGTTGTTTATGGAAACCTATCCAGATGCCTATGGCCTGTGTAACTCAGTCATCTCTACTTGCCAGCAAAGCTCTGCCTGGCTGGAAATAAAGTAGGACCAATAAAATTGCATTTTCACAAAACTTACCATCTTCCATTCAAAGGCCTATGGCCTCTTAGGCTTTGTCCAGGGTGGTAATAGCCCAACTGTAGACATTGCTGTCTAGATAGATGAGCAGCCTCCAAGGGCCTCCTCAGTCACATCTGGGATGAATGGTCAGTGTGGCACAAGGGGCCACAAGTGCAATGTCCTGCCCAGCATCCATCACTAGCTTGGGGGTCAGGGAAACACTTGACCCCCCACCCCCTCAGTGGTGAGCAGTTTGCAGAGAAAAGAAAAACCCATCTCAGATATGTTAGTGAGGGGGACTGTGTTCCATGGGTTATCCCAGTGCCATTCCCTTCTGGGCCTGCTAGGGAAGGACCGACCTCCACCCCTAACTGGATTTAGTGTGGGGCAGGTAACTCAGTGGGCAGGAGACACTGCACCCTCAAGCTCTGACTTGGAACACCCCCCGCCTTTCTGTTCTTCTCTCAAAAAGTAATGTTGTATCTTATTTAAAGGACTGTTGTTTATGTTCTCTGTTACTAACAACTAAAGACAACAGCTAAATGATAAAAAGATGCTGTAGTACCTACCAGTATAGGAATACACAAAGAGAACATGGTACTTAACACAGAACACTGAAATACATGTATTTGTATATGAAAATAAGATTGTATGATGGAGCTGGCAGTAAAGAGTAGACAACTAGTTCTCTATATAGAAAGAAATTAAAATGAAACCTTATTTCACATCATATCCCAAAATGAATTCCAGTGAGATTTATAACTTGTATTGAAAAAGCAGACTATAAAATCTTTTAAGGAAGATATAGACGAACATCTTTATCGTCTTAGGGACAAAAACAATGAATTATTTTGGTATACCTTTGATAATAATTTGGTACAAACTATAAATAAACACATTGCTCAGTCATGTCTGATTCTTTGCAACCCCATAGACAGTAGCCTGTCAGGCTCCTCTGTCCATGGGATTCTCCAGGCATGAATACTGGAGTGGGTTGTCACGTCCTTCTCCAGAGAATCTTCCCGACCCAGGGATCAAACCCAGGTCTCCTGCACTGTGGGCAGATTCTTTACCATCTGAGATACCAGGGAAACCCATAAAAAAAGAGACATGTAATCATATAAATTTTAAATGATCTAATCAAAAGATAGTGCGAAGAAATAAAAAGACAATTCACACACTAGGAGAAAAATCAATATATATGGCCAACAAAAAAACTGATACCAATTTTAAAAAAGACAGCAACTCATTAAGAAAAATGAGCAAAAAAAAAAAAAAAGATCATTTACTTCACAGAAGAAATACAAATGGTTAATGAATATTTTACAAGATATTCAAAAAATAAAGTGAATGCATAATAACTAATACCTTGTTATATCCATTAATCTGAACCCCCAAACTAAATATGATTCTAATAAGCCTTAGCAAGGATAATGAGCAATAACATTATTCCCTGCTTATAGTTAGTGGAATGTAAACTGATCCAACCACCTTGGGAAACCACCTTGCTTTTATAGAGCAGAGTTTAAGCTATGCATGCCCTATACTCTAGCCATGTCTAAGCATATATCACACAGAAATTCTCCATGTGTGCTGCAGAAGATACGTACAAGAATGCGTATTAGCAGAACTGTTCATACTAGCAAGAAGTAGAAATTAAAAAAAAAAAAAATTAAAAAAAAAAGTAGAAATAAAATGTTCAACAAGAGCAGGAAAGATAAATTACAGTATATTCATTTACGCCTTACCATACAGCAGTGAAATGAACATGACAATCCCACATATAACGCTTAGTGAAAACAAGCAGGGCATACAATATAATTTTGTAATTCAAAGTTCAAAAACAGTGAAATAATATGTTGTTAAGAATGTATAAGATATATACAATATAACTATAAAGAAATACAAAGGCATAAGAAATAGATACAAAATTTACAACAGTGGTCAACGGTAAATGGATGTAAGAGAGTGAATAGGATGGGAACGGGAGAGGCACACTAGATGTTTTAGAGATATCGGTAATTATGGTATGATCACAGATGATGGTTTCATTGAGTTTCTATACCAACAGTTCTGTTAGCTAAATTACAATCATTTAGAGAAGGTTTTTATTTTTCCCCCTTAATTAATTTACTTAGTTGAGCTGGATCCTAGGTGCAGCCTGTGTGATCTAGGTCCCTGACCAGAGATCAAACCTGGGCCCCCTTCATTGGGAGCAAGGAGTCTTAGCCTCTGGACCATGTAGGAGCTTTTAAAACTACCAATGTCCAAGCCCTACCTCATACCAATATAATTAGAATTCCTCAGGGTATAAATAAGCATTGTTACTTTTATAAAGTACCTCCCATATTTTCCATCCAGTGATTCAAATGAGCAGCAAGGGGTGAGAACCACTACTTCATCCCTTACTCACATATTAGGCATACTTTTTGATGTCCCTCTTTATGAAGTTTCCATTAAAAATCTCACAAAATTGCAGCAGTTACTTCATCTAGTATAGTGTCACATGGCAGTCAGGTTTATAACAAAATCAATTAACTTTAAAACCACCATGAAATGGATATCTGTCTTAGGATAGCTGATCAAGTAAAAATAAAATTTTATAAACTTCTATTTCTCCAACTGCTTTTCAGCTCACATTTAAAGAGATAATAAAAGTTTTTTCTTTAAAAGGTTGACATTTTCAGTTATGTCCTTAAAACTAAAAGACTTACTTTCTCCCAATAATAGAGATTTTTTAAAATGTTAAGTATTTACTCAACTGTTTTACTATTGCCAAATATTTGGCAGTGACGACTTTTTACTTACCCTGAGCAAGTCATCTATACGACCTTCCTTCTTTTCCAGGTCCTGGTTTTTATTACTTTCTAATGCTGCTAATTTCAGCATCGTAAGATCAGTCTAAATAAAAGAAAGCTATTTTATTATTCCATTATATGTATCACTGCATGTAAATATAAAATTAGATTTAATTCTGATTCTAAAAATCATAGAAGCATTGGAGTTTGTGTATGTAAAGGGTGTCCCAAAAGGTCTTAGTGTAGTTTTAAGTTTTATTATCTTCAGAAATGTAAGTGCTACACAGACTTTTTAAAGAAAATTTTCAAAGGTTAATCATTTAAATTTTTAGAATATTGATATGTTCTTCATTAAAATTTAGAATAATCACTGTTATATGATATCAACTCTAGCTGATTTTTGAACAGGGCAATTCACAAGCTGTTCACTGACTCAAAGTAATGTACTTGTAAATCCTGGTCTAAAGATTATCCAAAGAAAGAAGTTATGATGCATTCACAAGATTCTGGACATGACCTGACAGAAAAAGTGTAACAGCAATAAACTGTACAATTAAGGTGGCAAGCAAGAATATCTACTTTTTCAATCCTTGGTTTCAGACACTCATCCAAAAACTGTCACATGTATATAAAGTTAAAATGAAAACTCCAGTATTCAAAATTCATAAAACAAAGTAATTGCAAAAGATGTCTGATTTTCAAATAATGTTTAATTGTGTAGCATATATGATACACAAAAATACAGACATGTAAAACAAATTGCCGTAATATCCACTTATAACAAATATAATACCTTCAAGAAGGTATCAATTATATGTACTTGGATGTTAAGTTCAAAAAGAATCAGTAAACAGAACTGACATATTATGGTTGTTTTGGTTATTTAATTTGCTTAAAATATATATTTAACCAGTGTAACAAAGGACAGACTGACAGTAAACTGGGTTTCAATTTCTCACCCTCTATGAATTGTTTTTTTGCTGTTATTCAGTAATTAGCTTTCTTGATACTGAATTTTACTTTATGATTATGTCTAAAAGAGAAGACATCTTAATTGTGTGCACAAACTGGTCACTGGTTTTTTATAAGTCATACAAAGAAATCTCAGTTACTATTTACCTGAGTAATTTTAAAGGATAACTGCTTTGGCTGTACAATAGGGTGGTCCCCAAAAGCTAACGCAGTAGGAGAAGGGCTATTCGGTCGAACCTTAACAAAATATTAAATTTTACATTAGCAAAAATAATACAATAGCAAGATTCTTCTTGATGTTTGCCAGAAAACAACAAAATTCTGTAAAGCAATTATCCTTCAATTAAAAAATAAATCTTTAAAAAAGAAGTAAAAATAGACTTCTGCTTAACAACAACTAAATATTTCTTAAGTGTTTATTAGGATAATAACTCAAAACATAACTGAATTTGAAAAACTTTTTATCACCATTTATTTAATAAGGATTCATTGTACCTCCCTCTTACAAAGCCCAGTAAAAGAGACAACCAGCCATTTGATAGATAGATAGATAGATAGACAGACAGACAGGTATGCGCCTTGGTCTCAAGACACTCAACCAAAAACTGTCACATGTATAAACTTTATATATATATATATATATATGGAGTTTACAGTATGGTATCATAAAAGAAAATCGAATGCTTTCAATCTGTTTAATATAACAAGGCCAAATACATCATTTTAAAACAAAATTATCAAAAACAGCTTATGATGGTTCAAAAAGTAAAACTGAAAGACTTCAATATATCAACAGAACTCCTTTAGCACTAGGGACAACAATGCAAGCCCGTGCTATTGCTGTTATGTCAGTTGCTCAGTCGTGTCTGACTTCTGCAGGACCACATGGACTCTAGCTTGCCAGGTTCCTCTGTCCATGGAATTCTCCAGGCAAGAATATTGGAGAGGGTAGCCATTCCTTCTCCAGGGGATCTTCCCAACCCAGGGGTTAAAACCAGTTTTCTGCACTGCAGGTGGATTCTTTACCATCTGAGTCATCAGGGAAGCCCTAATGCATGGCCATGTGTAATATAAAATTAAGTTACTGATAAGTTGCACAGTTTAACTAGTCATTAATTTTAAAATACGTTCACTGAAAACAGTTGATTACATCATGTACCAATGCTATCACTACAATTCCAAGCTATTTCTGAGTTTTATACTTTACTTGGTATATAGCAATAAGATGTCCTCCAAGGTACAAAATGAGTAGGACATTAAAAAGTATGTATCTACAAAAAGGACTAGAAAGCAACACTGGAAGTTAAAACAGTGTACTTGAATAAGTGACATACTCTAATTTTTAAAAATTCTTAATTCATTTTTAAATTACTGAAAGCCAACACTGCTATTCTGGTTATACAATGAACTTTCACATAATGAAAGTAAAAAAACAGTAAATAAAATCCAGTATGAAAAAAAAAAAAGAAAAAAAAAAACCCAACATGTAGAGCAATGCATATAAAAGAAGTGGACCTTAAAAACATTAGAAACAAGCTAAAAAGTTTTAAGTGAATTTTTTAGGTCCAAGATTCTTTTCCTACCCCAAACTACATTATCCAAGGCTGACAGCTGCCTACTCTTTTCTCAAGGATTCCCAGAAAGGAATTATGCTACCATTTTAGTGGTTAAGAAACTTAACTGATAAGATCCCTGACCAAGGATTGAACTCAGGCCCCGGCGGTGAAAAGTGCTGAGACCTAACCACCCGGATTCCCAAGGAATTCCCAGTTCCATCATTCTTTTATAGAAACATTACTTCTTGGAAATAATTAACTCAGAAAATCTTTAACTTAAGAATCTCACTTTCAGAAATAAAGTTCTAACAGCATCAAATCACTGAAAATAATTCAACTCACCTCAATAGAATGAAAGACTTTTAAAAAAAGATAAATGCTAATATATATATATGTTTGATCCCTGAGTTGGGAAGATCCCCTGGAGGAAGCCATGGCAACCCACTCCAGTACTGTTGCCTGGAGAATCCCCATGGACAGAGGAGCTTGGTGAGCTACAATCCATGGGGTCGCAAAGAGTCAGACACGACTGAGTGACTAAGCACACATATAAACAGCCTCAATAAAGACAAATTATAAAAATTATTCATTCAGTACACATAACCTCTGAGACATAAAAACCACACATGTAAAAACTTACAGATGAAGAAGGAGTGGAATGTGAATGTGAATTCTGAGGCGAACGGATTGCAGGAGGTATACCTCTTACTGGACTTGAGCCATTTCCACCTTGGTACTGAGGGTAAAAGGAAACACCACTATATATATATATATATATATACATACACATAAAACAAGAGTTTAGAAAGATGTTGTTTTAGACATGGCATTATGAATTAATTTAAATGTATCTTATTATTTTTGTGGCAGACAAATCCCCCCAAAACAAAGAACATGTCTTATTTTTCCTTCAAATTTTAGCAGTTCCCTTATGCTTGTGAAGCCAGCAGGATCTCTAATCCCAAGAAACTTTAATCTCTTTACATGTAGATGTTAATCAACTATCTTAAAACAGAACTGTCATTCCCAAGATCTGTTAAGTATTCAAATGTTCATAGCACTATAAAAGAACTACTGGAGCAAGTCCTTTCTTAACAGCACAAAGTCTAATAAAAATCAATTCTTTCTTACATGCACTACAGTGAATGACTTAACTGCGTATGAAGAGAAGCCACCTGATCTGTTCCACAGCTTTCTAAAGTCTCATGTTTCTGAACCAAGAATGGAAGTGAAAAATAATTTGCTGCTAATGGCTTCATCTCTGGGTATTAGGTATGAACAGCAGAAAAGGAGACTTCCCAGTGCGTTTATTAAACAACGTCCTGCAACTAAAGAACTTGGTCTAAACTTTTTCTCTATCGGAGAAAGCAATGGCACCCCCGCTCCAGTGCTCTTGCCTGGAAAATCCCATGGATTTTTATCTATACTGCCTAGCATAATGCTCAGCACATAGTAGGCATTCAAGACACTTGACATGTGTTTATCTGAACAGACCCTACCTTTGGCAAAGATTTTTAATGATATTAACACTAAGGGACTGATAGCAACTAAAGAGCTTTAGGTGTATCTTATAGTCTGCAACAGTTTTAACTTAGACTCTGTGAACTCAAAAAAGAAAAACAATGGAGGATATATATATACATATATATATATATATGAATGAAAGAGAGTGACTGTGTTAGTCACAGTCATGTCCAACTCAGTGCAACCCCATGGAGAAGAGCCCACCAAGCTCTTCTGTCCATGGGATTCTCCAGGCAAGAATACTGGAGTGGGTTGCTATATCCTTCTGCAGGGGATCTTCCCAACCCAGCATTTATATATATATACATATATACATATAAAAAATACAGCCCGTCTCTCAACCAGCAAATTCTGCTCTCTCTCAAGTAAATATAAATATTTTTCAACTGACTAGATTATTATTTTAGTAATCACATTAATAATTTATAATATAATGGTAGGCAAAAGTGTTTCTGTGTAGAGGTGAAGAAACATTCCAGATTGGATAAAAATTTAAATTTACCACTGTTTATTATTTTCAGGGACCATTTAGATTCACATCTCTATCATTATTTAATCTCCATCCACAGGCCTCAGCTGTTGCTTTGGTACAATAAAATCTCGACTGACAGTACAAAGAATTCTAGAGGCTCTTCCATTTAAAATTTGCCTTTAGGTAGGATACTTTATGTGGATTCCCATGTGGCTCGGTGGTAAAGAATACACCTGCCAGTGCAGGAGACTCGAGTTTAATCCCTGGGTCAGGAAGATTCCCTGGAGAAGGAGATGGCACCTGATCCAGTGTTCCTGCCTGGGAAATCCCATGGACAGAGGGCCCTGGTGAGCTACAGTCCACAGGGTCACAAAAGAGTCAGACACAGCTGCGTGACTAAACAAGAAGGCTACTTTAACATCTCTGGTTCTCAGGCTCCTCACCTAAAACAGGAATACTAATACCTGCTTTGACCATCTCCTGACCTATTATAAGAAAATACGGGAGAAAGTCCTTTGAAAATTATGATGTGCCATACCAAAGTAAAAGTAAACTTTAATGTTCCTAGAAAGACAGGACATCACATACTACTTAAGTTCTGCTTTAATCAAGTAGATCCACTAAAGCAGACTTGGTGGTTCAAACAGCCTATAGCAGAATTATATTAAGAACTGAAGATATTCCTCAATGAACTTACTTCAAAATAGTCGCTAATTTTGTGGCCACGTCCCCCAATACTTTTTCCTAAAATATAAAAGTAAAAAATTTTACAGATTTAAAGTCAGTCGTGACTATCTATCACATATTATATGAGAAAGAGAATGTGCCAAACTTAATTCCCCTAATACACACAAAAATAATGTTAAGAATATGATATTCTAGTTGCGTGGTGATGGGCATTAAAAGAATACTAAGATTCCTCAGAGGGTCAGATGCCAACTTCACAATTCCAAAAATCAAAGGATATTCCAATAGATACATGTCAATTTTAAAAGTCTCAACTATGGGAAAATCAGAAAAATGTCATATTAAAAGACTGCCTGCTTTTAAAACGACATTATTCATATTGCTTCATGGCTACTAACTTCATAAAAGTGTATCAATGAAAAATGTATCAATTAAAAAAGCATCAGCTGTATAACTGACAAACCAATTTATATCTATAAATAATAAAAACGCTCGGTCAACACAAACCATAACAAACTGACAATAACATGCTTTAATATGAACACTATTTTGTAAAATGTTTGATTTTCTAAAAAGTATTTTCAAATTAATAGGATTTTTTTCAAAAACTAAATTTGAAATATTGTGCTTACATGGCCACTTTGATAAAGTGGTCAAAATTATTACAGATCACAGTTCTTTAATTAAAATTTTGCTCCAAAATGGACTTAAAAAAAAAAAAGCAAATAAAATGAATTTTTCATCAATTTTATAAATACTAAACTGAGAAGCTGCTAAGAAATACAGCATTTTGGATGGGAGTTATCCTTCCTTCATTGGAATTACACTGAATACATAATTTCTTCAAGTTACAAAAGAAAAACTAATGATAGCATGGAGTCAAAAGCATTGGATAATATAAACATTTATCGATTCAATACATTCATTCACTTATTTTATTAAACAAACATTTCTTGAGTGGTTACTATTTGCCAGGCATTACTGAGATGAACAAACAATACATTTAAAAGTTCAACAACCTCAGATTCCTTCCTGAAACAAGGTAGGGGGAATTAAAAAAAAAAAAAAACAAAGCTAAGAAGTAATACAACCTAGAAATTTTCAACAACAGCTTTGTACAGGTTTATTCAGAGGTCAGAGAGGACTGTAGGGTTTTATATACCAAAGGAATTTCCCTCCTGCCTATAACAACTTCCCTGAAGATTCTGAAGTGGTGCCATCTTTTAATGAAGACAAAGACGTTTTTGGGTTGCCTACCAGAAACTATTTCCCCAGTTCCTTTTCCCTGATTGAATCCAAATTTTATTCTGTTAACATTCCCTCCTCTCCATAAAACATATAATTTCAGTTCAGTTCAGTTGCTCAGTCATATCTGACTCTTTGTGACCCCATGGACTGCAGCATGCCAGGCTTCCCTGTCCATCATCAACTCTCTCAGCTTGCTCAAACTCATGTCCATCGAGGTGGTGATGTCATCCAACCATCTCACCCTGTCGTTCCCTTCTCCTCCTGCCTTCAATCTTTCCCGGTATCAGGGTCTTTTCCAATGAGTCGGTTCTTCACATCAGGTGGCCAAAGTATTGGAGTTTCAGCTTCAGCATCAGTCCTTCCAATGAATATTCAGGACTGACTTCCTTAAGGTTGGATCTCCCTGCTGTCCAAGGGTCTCTCAAGAGTCTTCTCCAACACCACAGTTCAAGAACATCAAGTCTTTGGTGCTCAGCTTTCTTTATAGTCCAACTCTCACATCCATAGCTTTGATGAGATGGACCTTTGTCTGTAAAGTATTGTCTCTGCTTTTTAATATGCTGTCTAGGTTGGTCATAGCTTTTCTTCCAAGGCTGTTTCCTATCTGGCCTCCATTCTTAGTTCCCTATCTCTCCTCCTCCTAATCAGAAATCCAATTTTGCTTAGGTTATCATGCTTTCTGCACAAGGCCTATATTTCTAAGGAGAATGTTACCACATTTTCTATTTCAGAGATGGGCCTCATTTTAAGGGCAATAATACCTCTCATGGACATAATTGGTTTTGGAATGGACACACAACCCAATTCTGACCAAGAAGATGACAGGAGAGGTTTGCTATGAACTTAAATAAGCCTATGTCAAAGAGAGGAAAAAAAGAAAAGCACATAGAAAACCAACCTCTCTCTAAAGCAAATACAAGTGTGGAAGAGGAAATGAGGAGATACAATTAAAAATGGCCACAGTCCTAAAAACATAAAAGAAAAAAGTAGACAATTCTGTGGAAGGCAGATCACAGAGAAAAAGATGTGGCTTCCTAAAGACATAGGCTGGCTCAACCAACCCAGAAGTCCCACACTATATTGGGACCTGCTTTTAAGTGAGCTTTAAAATTTAATGTTAAAACTATCATAACTAATATAACTAAAATAAATCCAAGTTCACTAACCACAACTTGAAGAAACTACACTAAGATCAAAAAGGACCTCAGGCCACAATGAAATACAAAATAGCACAAACTTAGAGAAAGGCGCTAGAGTGACTCAACTTCCCCTTTCCACAAAGAAAGCTGCTGCAAATATATTTCTTGATGCCAGTGCCACATGTAAATACTAGTAAGCCATGGGTTCATAGCTCTAGACTTTGTAGCTAAAAATGGCTCCAAAACACATAATATATGCATAAAATCATCATTACATGATTCAAGAGTCTAATTTATTGTATTTAATCTTGAGAAACCAAATTAAATGATAATACTATCTTATCCATTGTAAGAAGTTTTGCAGTCTAGTGAAAGTAATTTCCTTACTAGTTTATAATATAAAATGTAAAGTAAAGATGAAGAAAGGATATGGAAAGAAAGCAAAAAAGGATGAAGAAAAGGTATGGAAAGAAAAAGATGATATTTTAATGAAGTACCTCAATCATTTTTATATAGTCTTTTTTTTTTTTTAATAAAAGGGATGAGTAAATTTAGGTATTTGTTTCAAAGCAAGATATAAAATTCTTATCCAAAAACAAGAAGTCATTTCAACACCGTATTTCATGTAAAGAGAGAACAGAGAAAGGTGATAAAGGTAATGCATATCAGGTTTGGACATGACACTTTCTAATTCTCAAAAAAATTAAGTAAATGTTAGAAAGAGTAACTAGAAGCAAACTACCTGTGGTACAGAAAGACTCCAATTTCATAATATTTTTTATACAAAGTATATTTAAGCTATATTAATGCAGATATTACACGGTCTTTATATAAATCACAAAAACAGAAAACTTTTAAACAAATTATTAATTGAGTAAAAACCAGAATAATTAATTGCAAATACCTCTTTGGGTATGAAGGAAGATTTTGTTTCACTTACCCTGACTACTTTCATTCTGATTTTCTGCTTTTCTTTTTCTTCCTCTGGATGATTCTGATTGTTTCTTCTCTGGTGTCTACAGAAAGCAAGTTAACAGAGTTTTATAGTTTCAACAAAACAAAATTTTATAATAACTATAAATGTCATTTTTATTTTCTAAGTAAGAAATTTTGCTAAATAGTGATCATGCAATGTGAATGTCTAATTACTTACATACAATTTCTTTAAAAGATAAACTTCTATAGCTATTGTATAAATTTTTAAAATTCAAAATGTAGAAGGCCTTGTATGTATTACTTGAAATTTATAGAATGTGACTTGAGGTGGATGAGAAATCTGAGAGTAATCAGGCTTAAAAGATGCCCTTTAAATTCTTAAAAAAACCTCCACACAGTAACAACAAAACACCATTTGTTTTTCCCATTAGTTTTCTACTATTAACATATATTCTATAAAAGTATACATATATACACACATATATATACATATACATACATTATATATATATATATATATATATATATAACATATATTCTATAAACTTGGGCAAGGAAAAAAGAGCAGAACATAAATCCTAACATAATATAATCCCTACTAAAAAGGACCATTCACCTAAATGGTGAAAATTATTATCCAACAATAACAGCAAATTCATAGATTATACCCTAAATCAGGCGTCTGCAAACTAACAGTCAGCTGGCCAAATCTGGCTAGCCACCTGTTTTTCGCAAGGCCCATAATGTAAGTATAATTCTTCCATTTTTTAATGACTGAAAAATATAAAAACAAAACGACGATTTTATCATATGAAAATTATAAGAAATTCAAATTTCAGTGATCATAAATTCTGTTTTATTGGAACACAGTCACACTCATTCATTTATGTACTGTCTATAATTCCCCTCACACCACAACAGCAGAGTTGAGCAGTTCTGTCAGAAACTGTATGGCACACAAAGCCTAAAATATCCGGCCCTCTGAAAAAAAGGTTTGCAGAGCTCTGTACTACACGATGGCTTGCTCTTAAATTACAGGTTTGTTCTTTTAACTGATAGGAAGTACTTTAATCAGGCTAAAACAACAATTTTTGTGGAGTCTGACAGAATGTTGTGTTTAGTGAAAAATTAAAACCAAATGTGCACAAGGCAATGGCACAGGGCCCTCAAATTCTAGAAGTCTGGCAAATATATCTGATGCTAGAACAAAGAATATCTGAATGAATGAAACAAGGCAACTTAAAATAATTCTCTAAAGGCAACGTAGTCCTCCAACAAGGAAGGGACTTAACCCACATTTTGCTATCTCTTGTGGGTAGTTCTGTGATTAAATAGTACGAATGACAAAACACAATGACATAGGATATGAGGTATAATACCTTGAGGTTTATATAGATGCTCAATATCAACCTAATTCATATTGAACCTCTTTAGTTCCTCAAGGTATTATCATCTGCGGAATTTTAAGTTCTCTCACTGCCATTCTGCCAACAACATAACAAATTCAGAGAGGTTTAAGTGAATGCTACTGATCTGTGAATTCTTTAAAGACAGAAGTTACACCTTCTCCCCACTACCTCCTCCCACCTTCATGCCTAGCATAGTTATTTAATATTACACCTTATAAATATGTGAACATTAAACAACTTACTCAAGGTAACCAGGATTCAAATCAGATTCAATTCTATGTATTTCCATGCCCTACATACACTTTTTCCCTCCTTCTATGTGTCATGATTATATGTCCTACATCAAGAAGTAACTGAATGAATCAACTATACAAAAATACTTCAAATTGTCATTAAGTTCATAAATAAAATTTATTATGTCCAATAAACTACCATCATAAATTAAGAGATTAAAGAGAGGCACTCTAACTAACAGTCTACTCAGGAGACAGACTGACATACAAGCAATTTAGGATAAACAGTTCACTACTTTAGTTTCATAGTCATAATCACCAAACTCAGACTTAAATGATAACTAATCATCTATTTCTGTTGGAATAAAAATATCAGATTAAAAATTCTAAGTTAACAGTTTTATAAAGAATCCTATAATGGATTTTAAAACAAAGAAGGCATCCCAAATAATAATTTATTCATATCCTTCCCAATTTAATCTACATAAAAATATAAGGTCAAGGAAATATGGTTTTTCAGAACAGTTTCTGAAAATGCTTCTAAGAACCATTAAAATGCTAGCATTCACTGGCTACCTCCAAGTGGGGATGGAATGGAAAAATACGGTATACGAAGGTATTCTCAAACTTATTTGGGATAACATTCATTAAATACTTTGTTGGATATAGACTTCAAGACATTTAAGGTCCTTCCCCCCCCCCCGCTTTTTTTAAGACATATAGGGTAACTGAGTAAAAACTTTTCCTCCAAGGCAAAATTTCCCTGAATTAAAATTCTTTTCTGGAATAGGGAAGTGCGACAGTTTTGGGAGAAAAGTCATTCTGTTTATCAGAACAAACCCTCAAATGCATAATGACTACAGTAAAGAAAAAAAGGCAACAGGCTTCCCTCCTTTAAACCAGAGAAGAATTTGAGGAAGGAGAATGAAGGAAAAAGGAGAATGAAGTGAAAAAAGGATGACAAGACTAAAATTAATTTTAAGACTGTAATCTAAGACTAGTGTGGGTAAAAAGCTGGAAACAGCTAATAACTGAAAAGCAGAGCAAAGCAAAATATGAGAAAGGGAAACCTAGATATACCTAAATTTGCTTGTAAAGTAAACATAGGCATTATAAACACACCATTTTGCCTTCCCATGAACTTTTTGCACCCACATCCTAGTATGACTACCTAGTGTTGACCTTTGACTTCATTCTCACCTCTGTCAGCCCAATGGACCATAATTTTCTCAGAAGAAAAGTACCATGGATCTCTGAAGAAAAAAAGACTAAGACTCCAACTCTGGGTCTACTATTTACCATAATTTTCGGCATGTTCCTTAACCAAGACTCAATTTTCTCATCAATTTTAAATGTGATAACAGGGGCATAAAAGGACTGTGGGGACTAATGAGAAATATACCAGAAACCTAAGTAAAATAACATCTAGAACAGTGTATAGTCTGTATCAGTAAGCTATGCTTATCTGAATGGCTATCCTATTACTCCAAATATCTGTGCACTTGTATGTTCCAAGACTTCAATCAAGTGTCATTCATTAAATGGTTAGCAGCTTTTGACCTAACAGTTTAGAAATTCCTTGTAGGGTTTGCAAAATAAACAATGTTTCTTCTTTAAGGTCCCCAGTCAACTCTGATCTCAACTATATGCCTTTAGGGCCTTTAGCCCCTAAAGATTACATCACTAACTCTGAGACAAATGTACTTTAAGCAGTTTTCTGGTTCTGAATTTAAATAATCTGAGCAACACCTATATTAAACAAAACAGAAACTCTCAATGAAGCCTAATGCTGCCGATTCTCCTAGGTCATCCTTTGTGTATGGACTTATTTTGAGATTTCAAAACTTGAGGATTTAGGATAGGCAGAAACTCACCAGTATTTAACCTCTAAAATGGCTAATCACTGAAAAAAAACTTCAGAATACTATCGGCGACTTTCACACTGTACTCCAGGGACACCTCAGGGGAGAGGAGGTTGTGTCGCCAAAGTTACTGAAGGAGAGGAAGGAGCAGGTGGCTGAGCTGAGGCTCCAGCCACCAGTGAGTGCGTGTGTGCTCAGTCACTTCAGTCTTGTCCAACTCCTTGCGACCCCATGGACTGTAGCCCACCAGTCTCCTCTGTCCATGGGATTCTCCAGGCAAGAATACTGGAGAGGGTTGCCATTCCCATCTCCAGTGTCGAGCCACTAAGTACATCCTATCCCATACCCTATCCCTTGGAACACAGCATATCTTATTTTAAGATCCAGACTGTATACCAGATTTACTTCAAAGAAAGAGATCAATGACTTCAAAAATGTTTGAAAACCCCTGACCCTGACCAAACATCAGTTTCCTAGAAAACCTAAGGGACATCAATCAGGTCACCACTGTTAATTTTGTAAGGCATAAAACTTGTACACATTAAGCATTTTATATAGAACACTTTCAAACTTGTTACTGCTCTAATACTGTCATTTTTTCCTCTATTTTTTCTCAGTTACTGCACTGTAATTGGGCACAATGGGAAGGATCATTATGGAAGGCAAAATACTATGACTTGGCTTTAAAGTAAAGATGGAAAGACTACAGTAATTATAAAAAGTCAAAGAATTCTGGCATAGAGTGGAACAGTGGTTAGGAGAACATGATGAAAGGAGAAATTAGCATTCTTTAAATCCATTTAGTTTTAAAACTTCTAGTTTGTAATCATACCAAAACCTGAATGATTACTCTGGCATTTAAATGTTCCAAGATATTAGGGTGAGTTTATAAGCGTTTTATAGAGTTAGAAGTAAATTCAAAAAAACAGATAAACTTAAAGGACTCAAGGGGCAATAGTGATGTTCTAATGTTCTATTTCATCTGAAATTTAAGTCAGTGATTATTAAACAAGGTTTTTACATCTAATCATGGCCTCTTAGTTATCTTAAAATAAAATAAATCTGCCTTTCATCAATACAAATAAGACCAAATATAAGAAAATAAGAACCTTAATGCTATCACAGAGTGAGGGAAAGAAAGCAACATGAATTGTTGAAAACTGATCACCACCTCTACAAGCCTCTGACCAGAGTGAAAGTCATGTCCGACTCTTTGCGACCCCATGGACTATACAGTCCACGGGATTCTCCAGGCCAGACTCCTGGAGTCGGTAGCCTTTCCCTTCTCCAGGGGATCTTCCCAACCCAGGGACCGAACCCAGGTCTCCCTGGGCAGAGAGATCTTTTAAATTACTGGAATAAATGCATGACAGAAAATTGTAACAGCTTGTGAAAAGATATTATAATGTCAGTAAAAGATGAGTGGATATTAAAATTTATTCTTCACCTCTACCTTAGGTAGAGATCATAAGCTCCAAATGAATGGAACAAAAACAAAAGTCAGACAGCATCACATGTAATAAAATTATTGAGTTAACAGACAAATATTTTTAATTTCTTTCCACTAAATGAGAAA